CCGACGTCGACCCCAATCAACCGCAGGAGACGTCACTTGATGCAAACAGCAAGAGGCTTTATTCCAGCGCGCTGGGGCTCAGCTCGTATCTCACGCAGGAGAAGAGGAGTTGAGCCCCGAGCAGAGAGTTTTCCAGATATTTATAGCAAAAATTACACGTTGGGGAGGGGTTGCATGCAGGAGGGAGTAAGGAGAACAAAGAAATTCCAAATGGCTTGATAGGGCGTGAAATTCACTCCTCACTCCTGCCTGGTATTTTTACAACCTGCTTATCTCAATGGTTGGCTATCTCCAGGGACAGCCCCAAGGCCTGCGCTCCCCCTGTTCCTGTCTGTAGCGGGGGAAGCCTGGGAAGTTTGTGTGGCTTGTAGCATTTTTTATTCTTTCACCAGAAGAACAGATTGCTGGGTAATATTGGTAGTTAGATCTATTCTTAATTTTTTGAGGAACCTTCATACTCTTTTCTGTAGTGGCTGTAACATTTTACACTCTCACCAGCAGTGTATGAGAGTTCCTTTTCTCCATATTCTCTCCAATACTTATTTCTTGTCTTATTGATAACAACCATTCTAACAGGTGTGAATTAATATCTCATTGTGGTTTTGATTTACATTTTCTTTATAGCTAGTGAAGTTGACCATGTTTTCATATATTTGTTGGGCATTTGAGAAAAGTGTCTGTTTTAGGTACTCTGCCCACTTTTAAAATTGGATTGTTTATTTTTTTGTTGTTGAGTTGTATGAGTTCTTTATATAATTTGGATATTAGCTAGCCCCTAATAGGAAGTATTGTTTGCAAATATTTTCTCCCATTTAGTTGGATGCCTTTTTGTTTTATTGATGGTTTCTTTTGTTTTGTTGATGGTTTCTTTCTTTTGTAGAAGCTTTTAGGTTTGATATAGTTCCATTTATTTATTTTAACTTTTACCTTCCTGCTTTTGGTGTCAAATTTCTATATTCTCTCTGAGACCAAGGTCCATAAGTTTAGAACCTTTATTTTCTTCTATGTATTTTATTGTTTTAGGTCTTTGATCCATTTTGAGTTAATTTTTGTGTATGATGTCAAATAGAAGTCTAGTTTCATTTTTTTGAATGTGGCTTTCCAATTTTCCCATCATTTATTGAAGAGGCTTTCTTTTTTCCATTGTATGTTTTTGGCTTTTTTATAAAAAATTAGTTGCCCATAAATATAGGCATATTTCTGGGCTCTAGGTTCAGTCTCATTGGTCTGTTTTTCTACCAGTATGATATTGTTTTGATTATTGCAACTTTGTAGTATAATTTGAAGTCTGGGAGTCTGATGCCTCCAGCTTTGTTGCCCCCTCCTCACCCCCC